CTCCACGGGATGGCTATTAATTCACCAAAGATCTTTGCTATTTGGAGCATGCGGCTATAGCAAAAAAAAAAAAAAAAAAAAAAAAAAAGATTAAGAGTGGTAGAAAAATGGTCCATAGTTTCAAAAAGGGGAGGGAGGGGGGAAACAGAAAAAGAAAAATGTATAGCCATCAAGATCTAAAACAATTGCGCCCTCAATAACGGCGAAATTGGGGTGTGTGTGATTCATAAGGTGAAAATGGCTGATTCTTATCACAATTTGTCACTAGAGAAGTCTGTCAACCATGAACACATTATTTTATTTTCAAAAAGTGAGTGTGACTTTAGTGTTCCACATAATATGAAAATGGGACATTTAAAGACCATATCGATTTTGTAATTAAAGTGTCGAATTGGAATAAATTTGGTGATTATCCATAATATATCGATAGGTTGTCCCGGTACCAGATTGGTAGCACGATCCGAGATTTTATTGAGATATCCGGTCTTTTTACGCTTTCTGAACAACTTTACCCTGCGGCGCAAAAGGACTATTCAAGTCAGACGTGTTTGGTTTTCCATAGTCTACCTATTCCACATCACATTTACCTACTCCAATCAACACCCTTTCGCACTTGCTTCAGCTTCCTCTGCTCATCACCATGCACATGTCCATCTCAACTCCAGAGCTGAGGCCAGGGCAGTACAACGCTCACGATCACCAACGCAAAATTGACCATCGAAGCCTTATTCCATAAACTATGGATCACTCTTAAATGATTGGGTTGAGGTTCTCATCAAGTTATTCTTAATCAAAACTCTCAACAGTATTCAAGTATTAGATCATATCATACTCCTCCTACATTATCATTTCTCCCCGAATATCCAAATTATTCTTTACATTAAGATTTCAAATGGATTTTGAAGAAGAAAGGTTTATTTAAATTCATGAAAATCAGAATGACAAAATCAATCATCTGATTAAGTTTAGTATACTTCGCGCTGTTATCATTGAAGTCTATGATCTTACTTCTAGTTACTGTTCTATACATTTAGACATTTTCTTCTTCTTCTTCTTTAAAACAACTTAGAAATCCTTTCTGCATTTATTTTAATTTCATCAAGCAGTCAGTAATTTTAGCCTCTACACCACGATTTTATCACTTATAAATTACTTGAAAAAAAAACCATAGCCAATTGAAACTTCATTTATCTTTATTGATTTTAATTTTAGGTGTTGGTTTTTATTTTATTTTATGTTTTTTATGGTTGGACAACATTAGGTTCATTTTTAACTTTATTAGGTAAACTTTAAGCTTCAATTAAAACCTTTTGTCTTTTTTTTTCAGAAAGTTTATTCAAGTTGGTAAATTCAAACCAGATCCACAAAATTTTTTATCAATAATTTCACGTATTTCTCCTCTGTAAACTGTGTGATTTAGAGGTTTAGGACAGGTGAAATGCTTCAAGTCAGCTTTTATGCAGCTAATGAGATGAATAAACAGAAATCCATGGTTTCAATTTTTTCTGTTCGCATTCTGTTTTTTAGTGGTGTAGTTAGTTGTACTGTTAACCAAGAAAAAAAAAAACAGCGCTCTAAGGGTCCGTTTGGCAACCAACTTCAACCAAGGTTTTCCGACTTCGAATTCAAGTTTGAAGTCGGGTAAATACCCGAAAACAGTGAGGTATTTTTTTTTTTTTTTTTTTTTTTTTTTTTATCTTTATAGTGCGTTACCCACTCCTGCATAGAGACAAAAACAACACTGTAACAACAAAGTGGGAGAAAAAGGAGAAAAAACCAAGTTTCTGACATAGGGTTAAGTACGTGGGGTTGGTCCGAGCCTAGGAAGCAAGGCTCATGTGTTGAGTGGTGAGAGAAGGTGTAGTCATGGTTAGAGGAAAGAGGAGTAAAAGAGAGAAGAAGGATACAACCACAAAAGGGTCCACAGAGTGCTAGGCAGAGGGTCACTTCCACTTTTCCCCTCCAAGCTAGGGTTTGGCCAGTCCTGCCACACCAGAGGGGCAAAGCTGGGCAGGCTTTCTTAGGCACAGGATGATGTTCCTGGGTGGGCTGGGTGGGCCTCTTTAGGTCTCAGTGGGGTGAGAGACAGCAGATCCCAGCCGTTCCCTAGCTTGGGTTGGTTGGCTTCGGTGCCTTCTGGCCCCATGGGGAGAACAGTGAGAGGCAAACAGTGGAAAAAAAAAGGGGGAAAGAAAACAAGAGAGTCAACAAAGAGGGGGAAAGAAAACAAGAGAGTCAACAAAGAGGGGAAAAGGGACTAGGGTATGGGCAAGGTGGAGCTGTTGGGCTGGGGGGTTTGGGGAAAGGTGTATGGTTGACAGGGGAGCATGGGACGGTTGGGGCGGGGGGGTTGGGATGGGGGGCTGGGGTTGGCAAGGTGAGGGGGGGTGTGATGGGGTTTGGCAAGGGGTTGTGATGGGGAGAGTGCGATGGGAGGAAGAGGGAGAGGTTTTCAGGAGGTATGGCGGGTGGTAGTGGGTGGGGGAAGCACTGCCAAGATATTTGTATCAGATGGGCCTATCTGATGTTCTATCACCCCAAGATATGCAATGCAGTGTCAGTAGGATTAGGTGCGATGGAATTACACTGCAATATGGTGTCAGAGCATTAGATACCGAGAGTAATTCCATCGCACCTAATCCTACTGACACTGCATCGCATATCTTGGGGTGATAGAACATTGGATAGGCCCATCCGATACAAATATCTTGGCAGTGTTATCCTGGCAAGTCTTGCCAGTATGCCTGCCGGGTTTGAGTCAGGCAGGGTTAGTAGGCGGGCAGCTGCCAGCTCCACCTTCGCATTGAGGCAGTCAAGGGCAGGGGGGGAGTTTGTGTTGTGTTTGAGAAAGATGAGGGGGTGGGTGCGGAATGTCCCCAGTGTCAGCTGTTGGGTGATATTATCAATGTGCTGGAGTGCTTTCACAGTGGAGGTGTTCTTGCCATTGTGGTGCACCAAAATGGTCTAAGAACATGATTTACATATAAGGGCATCATTAGGATATAATTGCAGAACATCCTATTAGAAAATTGGCAATAACAACATTTTAATCACTTTTTTTATG